TATCTCACTGCACCAGTTCCACTGTATCTCACTGCACCAGTTTTACTGTATCTCACTGCACCAGTTTTACTGTATCTCACTAAACCAGTTTCACTGTATCTCACTGCACCAGTTTTACTGTATCTCACTGCACCAGTTTTACTGTATCTCACTGCACCAGTTTTACTGTATCTCACTGCACCAGTTTTACTGTATCTCACTGCACCAGTTTTATTGTATCTCACTGCACCAGTTTTACTGTATCTCACTGCACCAGTTTTACTGTATCTCACTGCACCAGTTTTACTGTATCTCACTGCACCAGTTTTACTGTATCTCACTGCACCAGTTTGGCGTTGCTTCAACAAAGTGGGACGGACAGACGGACTATTGTGTTTATGTTTATTCTCCGAAGTACCCAATGTATAATCAGGATGGTGGGTGAATGGCGCGTTAATTAATGAAAATCAATATTTTTTGGTTCATGACTGTTCAACTAAGTATCGAAATATGTAGATACAGAAATTTTAGTTCGAAGTTGGAACCTCAAACATAATACATTTTTCAACCAGATATATAATTTTATAACGTCGTAGGTCCTAATTATGAATATCATTACATCGTGTTAATAAAGCTAATAATAATAAGCTAATTTAAGTGTGTCCTATGATGCGGTTATACAAGTCTGGCAAAACAATTTGTGACCTGCCTATTGGCCGGGCGCCGCCGTAGACTCAACACATGGTGTGTGGGGTATTTACCTCGGGCACACACCTTAATCTCTCGACCGGCGGGTCACACCCAAATCTCCTGCTCCAACTCTTTCAAAGGCTGGTACCCTACTACTACGTGGCCAGAAGGAAATTCTTGTAGGAACTCTTAATGTCCGAACAATAAGAGAACAATACAAGAGGGATGAGCTGGGTGTATGCATGAGGGATAGTGGCGTACATATTTTGGGCATTCAGGAGCATCGGGTAGTACATAGCACTGAAATCGAGTATCAAGATCTTGGAAGCTCTCACCTCATAACAACTTCGGCATGGAGAACCAGCAATGGGGCGGCTGCTGGTGGGGTTGGTATTGTCTTGGACAAAAAGACAGTATTCAACTCATTGATTAGTGTATACTCACATGACAGGAGGACGATGGTAGCCAACTTTGCAGGGAACCCGGTCACAACTGTTATTGTGACTTATAGCCCGACAGAGGGGGCGACTGTCGACGAAGCAGAAAACTACTACGACAGCCTTGGTGGTGCCATCGACCAGATACCAGCCCACAACTTACTATTCGTTGTAGGAGACCTCAATGCGCATGTCTCATCATCAGGAAACTGGACATCCTTCCACAAGGGTCCAGCAAACCGAAATGGTAGACTGCTAGAGGATATGCTGTTGGAGCGACAGCTAGAAATCACAAACACCAGATTTCAGAAGCGAAGAGGTAAACTCTGGACATATCTCTCAGATATGAGTCAAAGTAAATCTCAAATCGACTTCATCATTTGCCGGAAGAAATGGCGGAACTCCGTCAAGAACTCCGAAGCATATGGTAGTTTCCACAGTATTGGCTCGGATCACAGAGTAGTCGTAGCAAGGGTAAAGCTTAGTCTACGGATAAGCAAGACGGAGAAGAGGGCTCCGGTTCTGGACTGGTCTAAACTTAAAACTGATATCGCTCTACAAGAGAGGTACACAGTGGAAGTTAAAAACCGCTTTTCCATACTTGAAAAGGATGATCAGACGGCAACAGAAAGGTACCAATGCTTTATTGATGCGAATAGGACAACTTCTCGACTTTTACTACCTGAAAAGGAGAAAAAGAAAAGATGTAAAATCTCAGCGACTCCAAGTGTTGAGATTGCCAGGCTGAAGCTGAGGGAATGTAGCATAAAATACCACTCAGATGCTACAGAAGACAACCGAATAGCTGTTCAAGAGGGCAAACAGAAGCTAGGCGATGCTTATCAAGCAGCCAAAGAGCACCTGCTGGAGGGGCAGGTCCGGGAACTGGAGGAAGCAAGTTGGCAGGGCAGACATGCTAAAAGCTGGACCATGATCAACAAGATCACAGGTAAAGCTCCATCATATACTGGCAAAATCAAGGGAAACTCACCAACGGAAAGGGTTCAGAAATGGAAGGACTATTTTGCTACTCTTCTCGGCTCACCACCGACGGTAGAGAACGCGGAAGAGGATATTGATCCAGTCCACCCACCTCTGAATATCGGAACAGAACCGTTTACGTTGGATGAGTACAGGAAAGCAAAGTCCAGCATAAAGGAAGGGAAAGCATGGGGTGACGACAACATAGCCCCAGAAGTCTTAAAACGATGCGACCTTGATCAAATTGTCTTAGACTTCTGTAACAATGCTCTATTGAAAGGTGAGAAACCAGACCAATGGTCAACTGCCAACATCATACCAATTCCAAAGAAGGGCGACCTTAGCGAACCAATGAACTATCGGGGAATAAGCTTGTCATCCCTAGTTGCCAAGTCTCTAAACAAGATGGTTCTAAACCGGTTGAAGCCAGAAATCGAGACAATTCTGCGTAGAAACCAGAATGGATTCAGACCAGGAAGGTCAACAACTCAACAGATATTGGTACTGAGACGTCTTATAGAGGGTGTCAAGAGTCGGAAACTGCCAGCTGTTCTGACATTTATAGACTTTAAGAAGGCTTTCGACAGTGTACATCGTGGGAAAATGCTAAAGATTCTAGAAGCTTACGGCATTCCAGACAAAATCGTGCAGCTTATACGGCTCATGTACGAGAAGACAATGGCCAAAGTCCTAACTCCAGACGGAGAAACTGAATTGTTCGAGATACTTGCAGGTGTGTTACAGGGTGATACCTTAGCACCTTACCTCTTTGCAATAGTCATCGACTACTGTATGAGGCAAGCCATAGGCGATGATGCGGAGCGACTTGGACTCACCCTCGAACGTAGAAAAAGCAGAAGAGTGGGGCCCAAGATCATCACCGATGTGGACTTTGCAGATGATATAGCACTTATATCTGAGGACATGGACAAGGCTAACGAGTTCCTGCTCAGAGTAGAATCGGCGGCAGCAAGCGTGGGACTACACATAAACGAAGGCAAGACCAAGGTCATGACACTGAATATGGAGGATCGATCTAGCGACCTACAAAGTCGATCCGGGGAAGCCATAGAAAATGTAGATGATTTCATCTACTTAGGCTCCTGGATTGAGAGCACAGATAGGGAGATAGGGGTTAGAAAGGGAAAAGCGTGGGGTGCCCTACATAGACTGAAGGATATCTGGAAATCCAAACTCTCAAAGAGCCTAAAGATTAGATTGTTCATAGCGGCTTGTGAATCAGTACTGCTCTACGGATCAGAAACCTGGACACTGACAAAGGCTCAAGAGAAAAGTTTGGACGGGACATACACAAAGATGTTGCGTATGGTGCTGGGTATCTCATGGAAGGACAAGGTCAGCAATATAACTTTGTATGGTAGCCTCCCAAGGCTGTCAAACAAGTTACGAAGCAGGAGATTAAAAATGGCGGGACACTGCATCCGACATCCTGAGCTACTTGCCAGTGATTTAGTCTTATGGGAACCTACGCACGGTAGAGCACAGCAAGGCCGACCAAGACAAAGCTACTTGTCTATGTTACTGAAGGAAGTTGGGACAAACTCTAAAGAGGAACTGCGAACCCTGATGCGGGACAGGGATATATGGAGGGGGTTTTCTGGCGTAGATCGGACTTAGCTCCGACATAGTAGTAGTAGTAGTTAAGTGTGTCCACCAGTCTGGAGAGCTATAGATATCCCATTGTTGAGTGGGTCCCTGAGAGTGTTGTTTTGCACGTGTCTGGATCTGAGAGTGTTGTTTTGCACGTGTCTGGATCTGAGAGTGTTGTTTTGCACGTGTCTTTTGCACGTGTCTTTTGTAGTTGTGCTACCTGTTGTTGTTCACTGTGACATAACACAAAAACGGAACTATTTTTACACACGTTCTCCTAATGCCTGCCTTCCAAACGGGGTCCTTGCTTCGTGGTCACGTGACCACGTGGTCACGTGGTCACATGGTCTGCTTGCGATTACTTCTTGTCGGTTGAAATGTCCTACAGAAATGTGTACAGCACAGAGTACGTGCATATTATTTAGTACAAAATAACAAGAAGTGTAGGGGTAAGCCAAGGGGTAACGTTGCTTCAGTAGGTTGATTAACAGACTAATTCATCGGTATCTGATGTACAATAAAACGAGGGGTACCCTTGCCAGCAGACGTGCTGATTAGTGGATATCGTCCTAGTATGTTTTCATGAGAGTACCATTATTGACTGCAGTTGCTTTAGAGCTGATCCAGGTTACACTCGCTCTGGTTGCGTAGTTGGGTTACTCTTGTATTCATAATCAAGACTTTTCCTTATAGTTATATGCTGCTCTATAAATTTAAGTGTTGTGTGTTTGTATAATACCATTTCTTGCTTACATAATTTATGAGAAACTTTTTAAATGGGACATTACTGTTTAGGGAATGCAGGAAGTGTTGTCATGGTAACTCCAGTGATTATGCAAGTCACTGCACTTGGTGGGAGTGTATGTTTCTATTCCCACTCTCATCACATCTCACTCTGACTTGTTACCGGTGTTATGTGTAGCTGTATGATTCTTACTTCTAACTCCATACGAGCTCCTTGAAAGGGGTTTCAGTTTCAGTTTCAGTTTCAATTTCAGTTTCAGTTTCAATTTCGCTTAAATTAGAATTCATTCTATAGCGAAGGAAAACAATGAAAGAGTTTGGGTAGCGAGAGTCTGACGAGATGAGAGCACTTTACTTTCTCGTTCTCTACTGTAAATTGGAAATCATCTAGTTATCACCTTCTACTCAAATTTATATATTTTCGTAACTGCTCGCATTTGCGAAACTGAATGCACAATATACGACTATATAGTTAACGTGGTTTTTAATGATTGCATTGTGGTTAATTCTTCATTACCCGTGATTTAATTGCTTTTATAAATATTCCCTTTATTTCAGACCAATATGCATCCGATGCCTCATCGGGAGATGAAAAGTGCCCTGCTGATAGGAGTGGGATAAACACTATTGATTGTTTAATGCCGGCCCATGCAGACCCTGTAACAGAGGAATCCAAGTGCAACCTTATACATTGTTGTTGGGTCAGTGACAGTAGCAGATGTGTTGCAGCTCAAACATCAAGTAAGTGCTTGCCAACTTCACACCTTAATTGTGATTTATCGAGCAAAGGGTTGTGTGTTATGGGATTTTAATCCATTTGTCTAGTACATATTTTGTATAGTACAAGAATCGTTATTAAGACTCCTTTTTATATGTTACTTAAATTGCAACCTTCAGGCTGCAAACTGGAGGGCAACAGTGCAAAGGATCTTGCAGACAACCCTTTTACCAAAACGATAATAGATGGAAGGGCAATAGTTCCTGGTAACTACGACTCTTACGACAGAATATACTTGGGGCAGGCAGTTACGTTTAAATGTAAACAAGACTCGAATCAAAATACAATGTAAGTAAATATTACGCTCAAATAAGTCTGTCGACAGTTGTATCTCTGGTTTACTTATTTTTGGTTTGACACAAAAATGGTGAAAATCTGATTTACAGCCAACAAATGGCAGATTTCAGCACTCACCATATCACATGTGACATGATTGATAACATACTTACTTGATAACTTAGATAACATAAATATAAAAGAGGGATGACCTTAGCGGCTCAATTGAAAATTGAACTTTTTTGACTGGGTCGAATGCTTTTATGGCCTTTTGAACAGTACGAAGAACTAAAAAATTGACCAAGTAATAAGAAGTCCCCACATTTTGACCCCAAGTGGTTTTATAATCGTAAACTTATAAATACTGTTGTCTCTTGACTTTAGATCTAAACGGGATCTTGCTAGTTAAAACAATTAAGTAAAGCTACTGTGGGTTTCGGATAAAATGAGAAAATCACAATTTATATTATTCGATTAAATAGCTGTAAATTGTTCCAGGTATATGTTAAGAAAAGACGACAGCCTTACGGACTTTTCAGATTTTGGGGATTTCACGAGTGTCAGCTTTAATTGTATACAGGACGTTGCTCAAACCACTGATATCATGGCTATGTATAACCTCGTAAAATGTGAAGGTGAGTTATCTGAAAAATCCAACCGCCGTGCCTAACCATTTCATCACCTAATATGGGCATCACGTGTAATTTTATATTAATTCGAGTTTCAAATGTGCATGTGTCCAAACGATTGGTGGTTTCTCATTCTGTAATGTTGAACGAACGCAATTTTTCAGCCGCGTGTACAAAACCAACCATTGACGATACCGTGGTGATGGATCTCGATTTTGAAACAGAGACGTTCTATCCCGCTGGTACAGAAATAAACGTGAGTTTTAATTTATCACATAATTTATGAATGGTCATTTTATTAGTTAAATTAGTGAAATAGAATCTTCCAACTGGACAGTCCAACATAAACATTGGATGAAACTGTACCCGCCTGATAGGGGTGCCATCTGCAGAGAGACCCCCGTCACCCCTACATCTGCAGATAGACACCTCGAATTAAGGTCTGGAATTGGGATAAGATTTAACATTTGATTAAATGCAAATTAATGATTTGAATTTCTTTTCAGTTGGAATGCAAACCAGGGTATGGACGTGATGATGGTACCACCGCATTTGAGGCTATTAAATGTAGTGGCGCTGTAACAAATTACAGTGACAAAAAGTGTTATCGTAAGTTCTTATTAAGTTATTGCCTTCTACGACTTTCTTTTTTCCTGAAAGGTTTTGGAAACAGCGAAAAGTTGACAGTATGATTTGACTACTGTCAATGTAATGACGATTAAAATGTCGACGTTTTGCAACACAGCTTCGACAAAACACACTACGGTACACTGGTTATATATCCTGGTGATGAACGGTTAAGTATCATACCATATAAGTGCTACGGTGTGTTTAGCTTTGGAATGGTAAATATGCTCGCTCCCACTAAATCGCTCGCCCAAATTTTAAGAAAAGTCTTGTGAAAAGGCTCTTAAGGTATAACCATTATCTAATTCAGTGGATTTTTGGACGCTGATTCCGAATCACCCTCATGACTTAGAATAAAAATGCTTCCCTGGATAGTTATGGGCAAACAACTGTTTTCGTCACGTGACAGGCAGCAGGCTAGTAGTGGTAAAACACGAACTCGTTAGGGTTAGGGCTGTGGTTATGGTTATGGATAGCTTCCCTAACATTTTACCACCAAGAGACTAAACCAGGTGTTAGTTCATCGTGTTCTGACGAAGCTATCTTGATGAAATTAGGATAAATCGTTGAACATGTCTACAAGTATATGTGAGCTCGCCTTAAACAGTCCATGCCTTCCACTTAACGCAAACAAATAGCCAGCTGTTAACTGTAAATTTTATCTTGACCTTATTCTATTTTTTGTTATTTCTATTGTTTTCAGAATGTGACACATCTGGAGTGACACTGGAAGCCGACGCAAAGGCATCCTTTTTGACTGCAACGGCATTGGTAGGTCAAAAAATCAACTACCAATGTGACACTGGAACTTCATTTGTAGACAAAGTCAAATCCGAGTTCAGAAACACACAAGAGCTGGATTGCATTTATAGTAGTGGCACTACCAGTGCAACCATATCAGGGATCGGCGACATCACAGAGTGTAGAGGTACGTTACTTTAATTATTTCTATCCATTGCCTTTAAAATGATGGTAAGAATTAATGAGTAGTGGAGGTGGAATTGAAGAAGTTTGCATTACCCCTGAACTTAGGACTTCCGCTTTTGTCATAATTAAAAACTGCAAAGTGCGAACTAGAGTGGGAATTTTCTCAAAGAAAGGAGAAGAGATTGTAACTTCTGATGACATAACGGGGACTTATTCTAACAGATAAGCTTCAAGACCCGTTGATTATGTACTATTCGGACATACTATTTTTCGTGCTTTGACAAATATTTTATATCAACAAAAAATGTTTAGTCATCATTGTTACCCTAACCTTCCATATCGGCTCAAATAACATCCAATTTCCACAAACGGATAATTGATCTTGTAACTTTTCAACCTACAGAGAATCAGGCTGTTTAAATCGTGCATTGCTAGGGGCCTATCAGAAAGAATAGCACACCTGAGTACGATTTTTTCGACAATTTTACTCTGAGTCTGATCTGTTTGCATTTTCCAAATTTGCTCTTAGATAAAAGAGTAATTCTTCGTTCCGATCAAAAAGATTGTTTTTAGACTACTCCGTGCTTACGATATTTTCAAATGCATAAACCCATAAATTTAAAGACTATTACCAGTATTATAGAATATAGACCAATAACTTTTATTTCTTTCAGAGGACTGCCCGCTGACGGTGCTTGAAGATCATGGAATATTGTTCAAATTTGATAATGAAATTACAACAATATTGTCGGTCCCTCAAGACGAAGAATATGAACTTGGGTGCGAAAATGGCGATTATCATTTACCGTATGGGCAAGAGGATGAAATCGAATGTGAAGAGGTGGACGATGGAGCATCACCAAGTGCAATTGTCGTTCAATCGTGCCACGCTCCTTGTGATATTGTAAGTTAATACGTTTCTGATAATTTTTTAATCAGACGATTTTATTTTGATAGTCACTGTTTAAGCCGTAAGCCGTTCAACTCCTCTATTCATGAACATTACATGCACCACATTTACTTCTCTGCGATTGTACCATCGTCTTTTATTTGTTCCTGTGTCAGGCGAGCGACCGCGGTGTTATCCTCGGTGCCATTTGGGAACACTAGTTTAACTTAATTTTAAATCATTCCTTTTACGGGTTCCGTAAAAAATGGTTCCGGTCGATCCTTGGACCTCGGCTCGGTCCACTCTATCCCATTTTTGGGATTTAGTAAAGATTGAACTATCCGATCGGTTTATAGCCGTAACCCAACTTTTTCAAACCTCATTTTCGCAGTCAACCATCAAGACAGAATATAACGTCGAATACGCTAAGATCGGTAGCGGGTTTCGGGCTGCCTTAAATGAAGAGGAGGTTGCGCTGAACACACCACTATTCCTTAGTGGTTGCAAACAAGGAGTGTTTCTGTTTACCGAGAACGTTGAGGCAAACACCAAATTCTTTTGTGACGCATCGAAATACGACTTTAATAATGATGCTAAATTCAAAGACCTCATAAAGTGTTACAGTAAGTAATGTGCATTTTGTTTTGATTTTTGAACATAATGTTAGGCGGATGATAATTAGAGTATAAGGACGAAAAATATGGAGTGAAAAATATAACGGCCTTAAAACAGCCTTGAAATGGGAAACAAGGAAAATTCGGAAAAGTAAAACAGACTATGATAATAAGATTGCAGATAGTTCCAGAGTTAAAGAGCATGTTTGCTGTTTAAGAAGCAAATAAGACACTTCTACTAAAACAAAGTTTAAATATTTCTAATAACTTCACATATAAACCTCATAGCAATAGCAATATAAAGGTGACACCTGACCAGTGACCATGGTTATGAGTCGTAACCAAGGTAACGATTGTCGTCGGACTATTTAGTCCAACATAATTTGTCCGCTGGGCGCTGTTGTAAATTTATATATAGATTATACGATGTCAGAGATCGACGGGGGATGTATATGGTTATTAAAATGTGTCATGTTTCGAGGTATGCATCTCCCACCCATTAAAATATAATTTTTGAGTTCGTGTCTGTACTGGATTAAAGGTTATTATAAATGTGTATAGACATACTGTCTATAATATAGTTGTACGGGTCATATTGACAAAAAATGCATGTATAGATGTATGTCGGCAAACGTACATCCTGGGTAGTGGGAAAGATTCAGTACTTTTAAACAAAGTTTTAGGATTCCTAAATAGATGATGAACTATCTAATATTTTTTTCAGACATGTGCCAATTACCAGTCAAAAGTGAACTCGACCAGTTCTTCGACTTCCTTAAAGTCGAAGACAATGGTGGCGATACTACTTTTGCCGCATTAGCACCCGAAGCCACTTCCATACCTCCCAACACAAAGGCAAGCTTCGCTGTTGAAAAAATATCTCTGCATGTTTAGCTGCATGTCGCATGTTACTTTTATCTTTCAGAACCTTGCTCTCTTATCGGATTGGACTATTCTTTAGTTGCAACATTCCTGATTGGCAACCCGCGGACTATATACAATCGCATGTTGATTAATCCGGGAGAGAAAGTAAGTTAAATCGTATAACCGTTCATTTCGACCAAGAGGCCGGTAGGAGGGTAGAATGGTAGGATTTTAAACCTATGTCAAAGAAGGTAATAACTCAAAATTGTACTCTGAGCCTTGACAAACCGAGGGTTGGTTTTCTTGAACAAGGCCGAGCACTCTTTTCACTATTGATCACGGTTATAAGTTGCCTGAACTCGAATTGTAAAAGCTTTGGTTATTTACCTTTCGACATTAGTGAAAAGGCTAAGTTCACATTCTAAATTTACATCCATGAAATAATCTTGAGAAATAACAAAGGGACGCTCTTATCGTACATTATTTCTACAAGGATTTGCTCATTTTGATTTTTACGCGTGCATGATTCAATGTATAAACATTAAACATTGTGCAATTGTCGATGATTTATTCAAAGTGATCTTTTCTAGTTGTACTCTCTCATGTGACGAGATAATTACCAGGTGCAATTCCAATGTAAAGATCTAACGATGACAGTGGAAGGAACTACAGGGAACATATTTGAGGCTGAATGTGGAACAAACGGAGATGATATAGTTTTAAAGAAATGCTACCCTTCGTGTTCGGTTAGTGGTTTAGTAGCGTTGATTGTAACACAATTTTACTGTTTAGGTTTATATTCGGTACAAAGGAAAACACTGTTACCATTGTTACCATGGTTACGTTGCAAGTGACTTTTAAAATAGCCATCTCATTAACTTTAATTCTATTTCAAATTTGGTAAAAGATTTCGAGTCTGTCAAGTCTGATCTGCACTAAATCAAGTTTTACCGACAAACTTCGAACCGATATGGTTACATGCACTATGCAATTCTTAAATGTATCAGCGTGATAGTTGTTAGGTGAAAATAATATCTTGGAGATGGATTTAAGACAAAACATTTTGAAAAGTAATTCTCCCTCTTTTCAGGTAACTGAGATTCCCAACCCTAACGCCAACACCATCGTTAGCGCCGCAGGAAGTCAGACCGGAACCAAAGTTGCCTTGGGTGAACAGGTGGTAATTACTTGTTCTAGTGACGACTATGTCATGGCTTTCGATGTTACCAAAAGAGCAATTGGGTCTTATGCTGAGTGTAAGACAGATCCTGACGATAATACAAAAGTAGAATTGATGGAGGCAGGAACACATGCTGGCAAAGATTGGTGCCTTGGTAAGTGTACGAATTTAAAACAAGTGGGACACAGAGACTAATGATGTCCAGTTCCGGTCCCAACTTTTTCAAAACATGTCTCATTACGGATAACTGAATTTAGATATTTATACTTCCAAAGAGAAAATCAAACGAAAGTTAAACTAAATTGAACAGAATTGAAGAATTTTTCTCGCCGAAGAAAATACTCCCCGCCATCTTAAAATAAATGCAATCATAACAATACAAAATATTCTGAAACACGCAACACATGTCTCATTTCCAAAACCTAACTGTGTACAGTCACGACGTGTTTATTTTTCTCTGCTTTTTTCCTGATAATTTCTTCAAATTGAAAAGTACGTACTGCACTGTCTCCGATTTCTTCGTTCCAGCTCTCCGACTAGCCAAGATCCGGGGACTAAGATACCATTTTTATGGATAGTTTTACCATGGGCCATTATCAAGTCTAAAGTTTTTTGTAAACGGCCTAGTATAATCTCTGCGTCAGTAACAAATTAAATTACTTCAGCTGTCCCAAAGTTGGGTGCACCAACAGCGTCAACCGGATCGTACACCTTTACAGCTTCTGTGGTATTGCCTTCAGACAGAGATACGTAAGTCTATAGGATACCTTTTTTAGATACCATCAGTTTCAACAAAATAAAATCTGTGCTTGACTACAGACTTAACTACGACTGGGGACCCGAAGTATTTTGTTGTGAGACAGCGCCCAATCGGGTACGAATCACGGAATCAGCTGTTTCAAAACACCGTGTATCATTGAATGCAAAACAACACATCCGTATTCATGAGTCATGTTCATTGCTTCATTTTGTAATCTTCAAAAGGTTTGGAAAAAGTTTCTTCGCTTCCCTCAACCGAATTTTAACTTTATAACCAATTCAGATTTGATGATTGGAAGATATACGAAGTGCAAGTTGCGGACAGTGCTGGTGATATAATTTGCACCATTACTACTATCAACGCAGACTCCGATACTTACGATTGCCCGTACACTCTATCTACTTCTGATGCTGATTGGAAAGCCAAATTAAAACATGGTTTCTCACTGCATGTCTATCATATCATATATCCAAGACAAGAAGCAGTTTATCTGACTAAAAATGACGTTACCGGATTTTATGTTGGACCTCCGCCCTTGGACGCAGGTATTTGCTATATAATATGTACTCACATATCATCTATTTCGATAAAACTCACGATGTGTTGTATGACTAGTTAACAGCCGCTATTATTAACAGTGTTGCCGTCTAGTGCTATTATTTACTGTACATGTATTTGATTCGTAACTTCCTAATTTTTGTCATTTCTTCAGGTGACGTCACGATTAGTGTTGTCGGCGCTAAAACTGTAACTATGATTTTCAAAGACACTTTGCCTGCTGATATTGGAGAAATCACTGTAATCGGCTCATACGTACCAGTGTATGCAATGAAGATAAGTGAGAAGGATGGTGAAGAGAAACAAGCTTACGATGCTAAGAGTAAGTTAATTTGTGTAACTGTGAATCATAATCTCCATGTTTGAGAAATAAACGTTACTAAACAGCTATACATCTGAGCTGTTGTTGATATTTGTCATCATTAAAATTATGATTTAAGAAACTTATCTCCAGAGTTAACTAAAATAACCTAAAAAATAACTTAATATTCGTTTCTAGAACTGGCTTCCAGTTTATATAGAAGAATTGCGCGATTGTAACGTGGACTGTTCCCAACAGTTTGCACCATACAATTACAAAGATAACTCCATCGTACTTACTTGTACTTGATTAGGTCTCCTCAATCATTCGAGTGGCCTGCACCAATGAACCCCGTTTGTGACGTATCATCTCCCTCCAAAGTTTGCGGTCACTAGCCATCTCGCTCGCTCCTTCTAGGTCTATGTCAGTGTTTCCTGTAAACGCTGCAGCATCTTCCAGCAAACATTTCCTCCAGTTCTTTCTTGGACGGCCCCTAGATCTTCTCCCATGTGCAGGGGTCCAGTTAAGCAGGTACTTAGGAAGCCTAGTGTCTGGCATTCTGGTGACATGGCCAAACCAACGCAGGCGGTTTGCTCCTATGAACGTCTCTACTGGATTTATCTTTGCACGCTCCAGCACTTCAGTGTTTCTAACCCGATCGAGCCATCTTATCCTAAGTATTCTCCTCAAGCAACGCTGATGGAACACCTCAAAGCGATGTAGCTGCTTGTTGGTTGTGTTCCAAACCTCACTACCATATAACAATATTGTCAAAACCGCTGCCTTATAAATCCTGATCTTTGTATAAGACTGGATGTTGCGGTTTTTCCATATATTACTCAGTTGATTGAAGGCTCCGGAAGCTTTCTGAATCCTAGCTGACAGCTCACGGTCGATAGTACCGTCGCTGGAAATAATTGTACCTAAGTACGTAAAGTCACTAACTTGCTGCACTGGCGTGTCTTCAACAGTGATGTTCACTGTGGCTTCTTTCGTGTATGGCCGTTGAGAGGTTGCTTTACCAATGACCATAGCCTCAGTCTTTTTACCATTGATTCTGAGACCTCCCTGGGCACCATACATACACAAAAGGTCAGTTGTTTCTTGAAGACCTTCCTCGCTGTTATCCAGTACAGCCATGTCATCTGCATAGTCTGTATCTAACACAGTGATATCATCAACAAGCGGACTGATAGATCTTTGAAGAACCGCTCCGTGGGACACCACTTTGTTGCTTTCTGTTCTCTCAGCAGCCACATTGAGGCAGACATTAAAAAGTGGGGGACCCTGAATGTCTCCTTGGCCACTGCCTGAACTTACTTCAAACCATTCTGATAGTTCACCATTGTGTCTAACAGCACTGACAGTTCCATTAAAGAATGCCTGTATTATTCGAATGTATTTACATGGCAGGCCATAATGACTGAAAGCTTTCCAAATATAATTCCTGTCGATAGAATCAAAAGCTGCCTTGAAGTCCACAAAATTAACATACAGGGGGAGATTATATTCAATGCAGTTATGTATAGTAGTGCGGAGTGAATAAATCTGATCAATGCATGATCTGTTCTTTCTAAACCCACACTGATTGTCTCGTAGCAAACTTTCTAAACCGTCACTCATGCGTTGTAATATGATGATTTGATACAGTTTAGATGCTGTAGATCTTAGAGTGATCCCCCTATTATTGGAGCAATGAGAGGTATCACCCTTCTTTGGCACAATTATCACAATGCCTTTCAACCAGTCGTCAGGCACTGCTTCTGAATTCCAAACTTTAGAGAACAATTTCTCCATCCTATCCACAAGACCACTTGCCCCATACTTTAACTGCTCATTAGAGATTTCGTCAATCCCAGCACTTTTGTGGTTCTTCAATTTTTTGAGACAGTTTAAAATCTCAAGTCTAGTGGGGGGACCATCACCATCACCAAGATAAGGAAAGCATGGAACCACTTCAAGATGGTCCAGGTCAGACAGATCCGCATTCGTGGGAGGAGGGTTTAATAGCTCCGAAAAATGTTCTCCCCATCTCTCTCTCTGAGCAGAGGGATCAGCAATCAACTTCCCAGATTTATCTCTTACAGCAGTTGATTTTCGATTCTTCTTACCGGACAGTGTTTTTATCCGTTGCCAGACTTCCCTTTGCCGGCCATGGACAGCAGCTGTTTCCAGATCTGCTGCAACTCTAAGAGCCCAATTCTCGTCGTCTTTCCTGCAGCTCTTTTTGACAAGTTTGTTGGCCCGAGAATATTCGCTCCTATTGTTGTTGTCACTAGGTGCCATCTGTTTAATCTTACTGCGTTCTGCAATAAGGCGTTTTGTCTCCTGAGACAAATGCTGCTGCTTTCTGCGCCGGGGGCGCTCACCCAGTACCTCCATAGACACTTCTTTAATAGTATCCTTAACTAATGTCCATTCTCCATCAAGATTCTCCTCCATCGTACCCAACTTAATAAAACATTGTTTTAGATATAGCCGATCTTGTAAGCCAGACCGAATACGATTGGAGCAGTGTCCTAGAGCCTCTCAAGAGCTATGTTGTTGTGATATCTTCCAGCACTGAGAAAGGACCCGGCGGAGATATGACCAAAGAATTCAACACTGGTAATTTTATGTTTTTCAAAGTTTTAAATAGGAGTACAATATTTAGAGGTTAATAAAAAATGTGTACTTATTCGCACTGTATAGTGTATATTATAATTTTTTAAATTCTACATTTAAAAAATACTTTTGTTTAACACTTTTAAATAGAGTAATAGTCTCATAAGCTTGCGTACATGTCATTATGTATGCAAAATATTTATCCGATATGTCGGAACACGTTTGGAGTTAATGTAAATTTGTGGTTAAACTGAGGAACTGTTTTTAGGTCACGCTTCTGCGACCATCACGGACGTTGAAGTTTCCTCAACCGCCCGCGATGTGACAATCAAGTTAGCCGATACCAGTCCAGGAGGCAACACCAAAGTCAAGGTAAGTCTTGATTCGTATTTATTATGAAGACCCCCCTGCCCCCTTTACCAACTTTGTTGAACTTTCACCACAGTCTTCTCTGCATCAAACTCAAGCCTGGCTATTCACGTATAAAAAGATCAGGACAATCATAACAATTTCAGTATACTCTGAGTAGCAAGGCCGAAGTTATTGAAGAGAAAGATTTTGGTGCTGCTAAGGAAGTTACCATATCGTACGATGATCTTACTCCACTCACAGAGTACACTTTCACTGTCACGGTCCTGACTGATGATGATACACCCTCCGAGACAGCCACACACTCTTTCACTCAAGGTGAGGATAAATGGTGTTACGTAGCACAATTCTTGTTGTATCTTGTATTATGCCACTACTAGGAATAAAGTTTTGTCATTGGCACCAAAATCACCATAAAATAAGTCTTTTGATACGAAATTAAACGAACAATTTCTCTCAGGACCAACACTCCCAACACCAATAGATTCCTCAAAAATAGTGTTGACTGACAATACTGCTACAGTGGAATTCATGCCAGAAGAAGGTTTCACTTACCGCTTAAAGGTATCCAAAAAGGTTGCCGAAGTATGGACAGTTGTGATGGAGTATGTTTACCCTGAGCCGGTTGTACCAGATGATACCAGCAGCGAAAGTGAGGATGATACCAGCAGCGAAAGTGAGGATGATACCAGCAGCGAAAGTGAGGATGATACCAGCAGCGAAAGTGAGGATGATACCAGCAGCGAAAGTGAGGATGATACCAGCAGCGAAAGTGAGGATGATACCAGCAGCGAAAGTGAGGATGATACCAGCGGCGAAGGTGGGGCTGATAACCTACCTTCACGAAGAAAGCGTGATGTTACACCAGTTATTCATGAATTTACAGGTCTAGAATCAAATGTTGTCTACAAAATTTCAATGACCTCCGAGGGAAATGTTGGCGAAACGGAGACAGTACTGACAAGTGATCCTGTTGAAGTTGAATTTACAACTTGTAAGTTTTTTTGATTGTTGATCATCACTTTAATATTTCCATATTATAGAGATTTTACTCACACTACAGTACTTAGCCACCTTCTCTGCCAACGCATAACTTTTTGATTTTTAGTTCTCCTTGGCAACGTTTTAATTCTTCCCTACCTTGTTAAATAACTGCTTACACCCTTCTGTTTGAAACCGAAACTCCAACTCATTATGTCCATTTTATTATTATTTCCTTCCATTTTATTATTTTGTAACCTTAAAACCTCCCTCTCCAGATGCCTGTAGTAAATCTACTTTGACGGACGCGGGAGTAACCGTGAGTTTGGAAGGTAGCGAACAAGTCGTCTCAGACTTTTTGTCTCCAGATAGTAACGTGCCTTTCACGCTCACCTGTCCGGTAAGACTTGATTCACCTCTCCAGAATACTTGATATCCCGAAATTTATATTAAATTTTATCCTTCCACAGCCTTTCTCTTCAATACTTCAGTACAGACAATTTGATAGACAATATATCACAAACTCCGGTGTTCGTGTACATATTTAGTCTTAGGTTGTTTGACAATAAAAAGCTCCCACGCTCCAGGGTGACCTTGTTGTTAACATAGTTGACAGTGTAACTGAACTGCTAGGAAACGCTACCACTACCTCTGTCTTTTGCCTTGCCGCAGGATGGGGCGATTACATTGAATGTGTGGAGGTTCCAGGTATGTTTCATCCCTAATCTCATACCTTCAACACATTTCTTTCAACTTCAACCACCATCATTGGGCTTGATTCATTTTTGGCCTTAGTGGGTCTCTTAATTTTCCGATATGGACCGGTGTTTATAGGGTCTGCAACCTTCATCCATTGGATGTTGGTGTTTAACAGTGAGTGACAACCACGTCTTACAAATTTCCTCTGATAGTTTTTCGTCAACCACTAGAAAGAGCTTTTGAATCTATTCGAATAACCATTTTTATTGATATGCGCGAATTGTTATTGGAGGCCCGGCCCGTTTAATATCCTGCCAGTCTTCTTTAATGTTCAAATTAAAAACTACTTCAAAACTAACCTTAGACACCAATAGTAATACCACAAAAAGGCTGAATTTTTCCCTCTTCTGTTGAAATTGTCTTTTTTTTGTTGAAATTGCCATTTTTGAGCACCCCTTCAGTGGAATTTTACTGATTCAAACCGTACATAGAGCCTGAAAGATTAAAGTTTTTCGCGTTTTGATTTTTAGAGCATGCATGCACAGGCAGGGCAATTTTCCTGTTTGACTTTTCATAATGTAGCGACGGCAGCACTAACAAAATACAGAAAGGAGGACCGGAACTAACACCCACCACTAAAACCCACCACTAACACTCACCACCGGAACTTACACCCACCACCGGAACTAAAACCCACCACCGGAACTAACACCCACCACCGGAACTAACACCCACCACCGTAGAGATAGAAGCGGCGACCAACACACAGGAATCAGACGTAGTAGTCGGGATCGTGCTGGGAATACTAGCAGTGCTAATTATAGTGGGCATCATTCTCATATTGATATATAAGAGGAATAAGGAGTGAGTAGTGCACAGAGTTAACAGAATCTTGCTTCAAGAGTACCCCTACTGGCTTTAATACAATGCTCTACGACATGGCGAAATTAATTGGCGGGAATTAAATGTAAATTGGCGGGAATCAAATGTAAATCAACGGGAAACGTATGAAATTATTAAAACGATACAGTCAAAAATTTAAAAACGTTGACTATCTGTCAGCTCAACCGATTCAGTAGTACTACGCCTTTGGTAAAGCGCCTTTAGTCGAATGTAGAATATCAAATCTAAGCATCTGCTACAATAACAGAAATACGTTAACACTTAACAGTGAGCTGGTGCTACCCACTCTTACATTTAAACACTTAATAACTAGGTAACAATATTAATACACTAGTAGCATTCTTTAACTTCAGAATTGGCTACTCGCTAGCTGCATAGTGCATATCTCTATATCTCACCGCCATGACATATTCAACCACATCCTCATACCTTATCTCACGTGACACATTTTGATATAATTTTCTTGATTTAGAATAACATAAACATGGCTACTACGATTTTATTTCAGCTATTTGGCCATTATGCGCTGCTTCTGTTTCAAATCCTGCATGTCCAAGAATAACATGATAATATAAATTAGAATAACTCCTGGATAATTGCATAGCAGTAATAATTACTGGTTAAACGCTCTTACAAATATTTATTGATGTCTGATTATCTTTCAATCTTTGGTAATTAGTTTTGATTAGTAATTGGTGAACTCAATGAATCTACAATCAGAACCTGTACCTGAACCTGAACCCTCTACCGGTCTGAGTGGAGGTGCTATCGCAGGAATCGTTATCGCAGTGATAATTTTACTTCTCCTAATCATAATCATTATCGTCTGCTGCGTCAGGTTTGGTTGCCGCTCAGATAGCTTATATTGAATGGATGGTCTTGAATTACTTCTTGGTCATGGTGCATCGAGATGATAATTCTATTTTCAAGTTTTCTCTAGCATGAATAAGTTATGATAATTCAATAGAAATTTGGTTCTTCTTTTGCAAGCAACAGTTGAATGTAATGGATATATGAATGGTTTGAGTAGTGGAGGAACCATCAGTACTCCCTCCGGAAACTTGCATGACTAAATTATTAACGCTTTTCAAATTTAATTGCTTCTGTTTGAGTCAATTATTTAGATAAGATTCACGGAAACAGAGTCATGGAAACAAGACAGTATCCCCGGGCTCAATTAGAAACATCTTGTATTGCGGAGCACTTCTCACTTCATAAGTAATTTCACACTTCATAATATCTTACTCCGCAAATAGTTTAATACTATATAGTATTAATAGTTTCGTTCTGTTCCATTGAATTTATTATTATATTTAATTATTCTCTTTTTATAATTATTTGTTGGCAAAATAAAGAAAATATACAGCCGTGCACTGCACTATGGTCTCAGCTCCATCATCTTCATTATCTCTTAGACTAGCAAGCTAGGTAACTAATGTTGCTAGGTAACAAACTAGGTAACTAGTGTTGCTAGGTAACAAACTAGGTAACTAGTGTTGCTAGGTAACAAGCTAGGTAACACTATCTCTTGTCTGTGTCAAGTGGGCATCATCTTTGAAACAAGGCTTTTTTTGGCTCCTACTTTTCTAAGAAAAAGCAAGCGGCAGAAGAACGTCTAACAATATTTTCAGAATCTAAATACCTTATCTGATCATTAAAAAACATCAAATAAAATTGAACTGATCCTATCTGTGGTTCAGAGCAGGTTAAACTGACCATGTAACTGACATGGTAACTATGTAACTGAATGGTAACCATGGTAACCATGGTAACCCACAGATCCAGATGTAGAGGCCGTGACTGATGGATCTAGGACGGGACTGGTTGCCGGAATAATCGTAGCTGTCATCCTCATTCTCCTTATAATCGTCATCATCATACTCCTGGTCGTAAAACGGAGAAGGTTGGCGGATGTTCGGTGTAACTAGGTGTAACTAGGTGTAAAAGTGATGTAGTTAACCAAGCACTTCTCACGGCTATGATACTGGCTGTTACTTTATGTTTACCGCTAATATATTATTCTTTGTGGTATGATTTATGGGTTTAGATGAAAGGCTCAGCCTAGTATCTGCCCAGTGTTGCTAGGTAACTAGTGTTGCTAGGTAACTAGTGTTGCTAGGTAACTAGTGTTGCTAGGTAACTAGTGTTGCTAGGTAACTAGTGTTGCTAGGTAACTAGTGTTGCTAGGTAACTAGTGTTGCTAGGTAACTAGTGTTGCTAGGTAACTAGTGTTGCTAGGTAACTAGTGTTGCTAGGTAACTAGTGTTGCTAGGTAACTAGTGTTGCTAGGTAACTAGTGTTGCTAGGTAACTAGTGTTGCTAGGTAACTAGTGTTGCTAGGTAACTAGTGTTGCTAGGTAACTAGTGTTGCTAGGTAACTAGTGTTGCTAGGTAACTAGTGTTGCTAGGTAACTAGTGTTGCTAGGTAACTAGTGTTGCTAGGTAACAGCCTAGTATCTGCCCAGTAATTCATCAGCCCGTGAAGACGCAATATACTTTTTATAAATGGGATTTCTGTCTACATCGTCCGTGTTGAGCATGTTTGTCACGTCCAGCTTGTTTATTTGTTCATGTTGAGGAGTTTTACCTATTAAAAATTTACCTCTTCTGTTTTCTCTGCTTCTAGTGATCAGTCGTTTGTTTCATCTTGAGAGTCTATCCCAACGAATGTTGTAGATGATGGAATCTATATGAAATGTACTTATGTTGGTAACCGTCGCCCACTGTAGCTGTGGTAACTGTCGCCCACTATGGTAACTGTGGTAACCGTCGCCCACTGTACCATGCTATTGAGGCTCTACTGCCATCAGTATAACATACCCTCCAAGTATAACTACTAAGCTGTAATAAAACATGGTAACCGTGGTAACTGTGGTAACCGTGGTAACCGTGGTAACTGTGGTAACCGTGGTAACTGTGGTAACCGTGGTAACTGTGGTAACCGTGGTAACATGTCCTAAAATATCCAGGTGACGGTCTCCAGGATATCATAATCGGTGTGGTAGTTGCTATTGTAGTTGTTCTACTTCTCATCATGTGCATCGTGGTTATCATTAAGAAGTAGGTCGCTGGTACTTTCTCTCTTCTCTTTCACCAACCATGTGAAGATCTAAAGCACCTCTGACACAAGGAATTGTTCTCATACTGCTCGTGGAACTCTCTTTATCATATCTCAAACTTGTGGTTCTCGGAACTACCCTTTTTTTCGATGCTCTTACGAAGATAGTTATTATGATTATCACTATATAAACTCAGTTTTCTTCACATTGTCTTTCCATCTTAAAAATCATCTTAATGTTAGAGGCATTGTGTACTGAAACATCTTGATAAACCGTTTATAGACCTCTCACTAGTGGAAATATCGCATATAATATTTGAAGTCAACAGCATTTCTCAATTAAAGCACCTGTTTGCAGCAGTGGGGGTGGGGGGCAGGTACTAAGTTTTGGACGTCACGTCCAGTACTAAGTGCATGATCTCCCCGCTTGGTTTGTGAGACATGATCTTGTTTCTCTACTGCATGCTAATTGCTGCACACTATGTTTGATCTGTTAAGATCTTTTGTTGGTTATTTTTAAAAGCACCCCTCTTGTTTTACTGATATTATCTTCTTTTTGTTTGGTATCACAATTTTCACCAATTCAAAGTGATGCAGTGCGGAACAAGTATTCTTTAGTGATAAAGCACAATCAGCACCTAAATTTCAGTAGTTTTTAAAATTCCTCCACTATTAGATAATGTATCAATATGCCTAATTGAATGATTACTCTGGAGGCAAGATTCTGAAAACTTTCTCTTTGAATGTTTAATGTTTGAATGTTCTATCGTATTTAAATCCTATGTTTGCATGACAATTGTAAAAATACTATTCTTCATTATGAAACTGAAATCAGAATATTGCTAATTTCATGATTTTCAACATTTTGAAACCTGATGAGTGATGAATATTGATTAACCGCGTGAAAACTGCAGTGATGCTCTTTTGACCATATTTAATAGGCTGTTTACCACAATTTGGTTTACCACTACACTTTTGTGGTTTAACCATGGTTGCTACGGTTTTATAACACACATTCCCTTTAGACGAGGTGGCGGTGGAACTGAAAACGGCACTTCACAAAAATATTCTCCTCGTGACAACGAGTAAGTTAAATTCTTCACTATTGTGGAATATATACATTTTATATATATTATACATTATGCATTGTATAATGTATATATACATTATATACATTATACCGCATGAAGTCCACGTTTATTCTATGATATGAGGTAGTATTCTGAAAATTGTAAAAACATATCCTACTGATCTAAAGAATCGTTGTAGTCAATTTAAGGACAAACCCCATGTTGTGATAACATTACTGTCGCCTTGTCAGTTGTACAGTTTTCCAGTCTGGTAATGTCAGACAGCATGATCTAAGTTTGATCTCTTAACCAACAAATTCTGAAATATCTCCGATTGTAATGAATGATATGCGAATTATTATCCCAGTTTTTCAATATTGGTACCCAATGCTATTGTGCTCTGGCCTCATTGCTCATGACTATTCATGATGGTCCTTAAACTACTGTGCTAGCTACTAGAACTATGCATGAAAATCTCTGCTATGTCAGATCGGCTATTTTACTTGAAAACACACTTGAACTCGTTATATCTTGATTTAAATTAAGATAAATAATAATAACTAATTGAGAAATAAAGGTGTTAAAGTAAAATAGTAGATCAGGGTTAATGCTTCTTTTCCCACAAAATGCATGTGTCTTGTGTCTGCAGGATAGCTGCTGATGGAGGGGAAGCTTGGAGGAATCCGTACTATCGTGATACTGACGAAACTGAGAAGTAAGTATCTCTCTCTCTCTCTACCTATCAGTCATAAAAACTTGCATAACATTCATATTTGATAAAATTAATTTAGCCAATCCTTGATACTTTGATATATTTTGTTCGTCTTCGCTGAATCTTTATCTTGTTTTTTTTCTTTCTGGGTGACACGTTAAATAGAGGTGCCACTGATCAGCTGTTCTTATCTTTATCCACGTGTTATCCCGTTTGTTAGTGTGTTTGAGCCCATTTGATTACAAATCACACACACCCACCCTACCTATCAATCTCTCACAGACCAAACCAAGAAAACGAGGTCATCCTCGTACCTCTCCATCAAACTACAGAGGATCCCAACTATTACCCGCCCCGGTCAATAGATGACGGGGTGGAGCCGTCCCACCAATCCGAGGAGTAAGGCGCCGCTAATTAAGTAGCTAATTAAGCAGCTAAATTGCTTATGATTTAGCTAATTTAAATTAATCGGCTACTGCGTTTTGACGCTTCGAATAATTTGCTTGCCTAATTAGCTGGCGACACTTTCATTTTGACCGCTGAGTAGTCTACCAAAACAAGAACGTTTATGCAAATCAGTTTCAGTTTGCAATTACACTGATCATGAGCTCCAAAGTGAGGGCTAGGCCGATTGGGCGGCTTAGCTGAACTTTATTCTGTGACTCATTCAAATGTAAAAAGAGATTTTTAATACACCCTTATTACACATAAGATTTGTCATTAGAATCATAGGAAATAGGTTGTACACAAAACGACTAAAAAAAGCTTCCCTACAGAGACTTATATAAGCAGTCTGTATTCATAGCATACAATAAAGCATATTGGTAGCATTACATATACATTAAATCTGGGTTTTATTGTACTAGGCTTGGTGCACAGCCTAGTTTGTTTTGTATCTAGGAAACAAGATAAAAAGATACCAGCCGATGAAGCTCCTGTAGATGAGGCTGAACTGACGGACATAGTCACTGAGAATCCATACGCAAATGCCGATGAGTAAGTTGCAGATCCTGCTGAAAAAGTAGCTAAAATTACGGTCCTTCTCTGGCATGGCGCCCTCAAATTTGTTCACAGAAAAACGCATGAAAAAAGTCTTTATGATCATATTTTTCGATCATAATTTTAATCGCCTTCAATTTCTCCTTGACAACACTGCATGGAAAAATTGCTAATTTACGCACTTTTTACCTTCAATCTGTGACTAGTGGAGCTTTTCATTGTCAGTAGTGATAATCAGCACTATGCCCGACATACCAGTTTGGAGTGAATTGAACAAAAGTTTTGAAAACTTTTATGATTTTCCATTTATACTCTCTCGAGCTATTACTGATGACACTGAGTTTAATGATCATATTTTCTCCTCTCCTTGCTCCTGTTACTCACTACTCTCATACACGCTACACACACTAAGATGAGAAGTACATACCGTAACCGGCTTAAAGTTTACGAGGTTTTTTATTAGTACGTACCGCACGAACTTCTCATCATAGTACACACATGGACCATATAATAGAGAGAGTCTGCTTTTCAAATTTGATGTTATGTACAATCGCAATCGCCATTGACACGAGCTGTGCCGCCAATTTGCTGTGTTTATAGAAAACCATATAAAACACTGTGTTTGCTTAATCTAACGAGCTGTGTTTTTTACGTTTTATTTAAAGTATAGAAACTGACACCACCAGGCAAGATGCGATCTATATAAACTTGGCGAAGGACGGTGAGGATACAGAAACTGATAGCGACAAACTTGAGTCACCTCAATCGGAAACTGATAGCAACAAACTTGAGTCACCTCAATCGGAAACTGATAGCAACAAACTTGATTCACCTCAATCGGAAACTGATAGCAACAAACTTGAGTCACCTCTATCGGAAACCGAGGGCGACAAAATTGATGCGCCTCAATCGGGAACCGATAGCAACAAAGCTGGTTCAATTGAATCAGATCTGGAGGCCAACTCGTAAGAAAAACAGCACAAGAACAACGACACACTTGTAGTCTAAATTTATTTTTAAAACCTGTAGAATATACCTGAAGCATTTTTGCTGAAATTGGTTGGGGTAGGAAAATTCAAAATATTAGGAACAAGCCCGCATGATAATTGCACTGACTTAAACAGGTTCTGCTGATAATTTCTACCTGACACATTTTTCGTACAACGGGACAAAATGAGAAACGAAATAGAAGCTCCTTCTGATTTCTGTGTAGCAAAACAGTTAGCATCTAGTAGTTGTACAATGCTACCGGCTTTGTTTAAATGCGGACTAAACAGATACATCTGATATCTTTCTCCTACAGTTTGTGCAGTTGAAAACGCCTCCAGGAATAAAACCCGGTTATAAATCTTCAAACAATGTGGTAGAAATAAGAAAACTATTTGTATCACAGTTTACGACCGCATTTTGACAAACCTCACTTCGACTGACCCGGTAGCATTCGCTGTAACAATGTTAAACTCTTGTCTTATCAATTCACCTTCCGTATCTAGTTTTATTTATTACATTTGCTGTATAACTATAACTATAAACATTGTTGTATTAGTTTAATTGAAGCCGTTAAAAGAATCTCATATTTTAATGCCATATTATGGACGCTGAAAGCACCCTTTGAAGCAAAAGCACTGTTTTTCCTCTCTGAGTTATTATTGATAAATAAAATAGATATTATCATAATGTATATTGTGTTTGTATTTGTTAGTTTTGGTACCAAATTCAATTCTTAAGTTTATTTGACAGTTTTGTAGTCGTTTCCGCATGTGCACGAACACCTGGTAACCACGCAATAATGTCGCATGATGTTGCAAAACCCGGATTTTAGTATCATTATCATTATCAAGTATTAACGCCCTGTCTTTGCAGGCAACCCGACATTCCAGCTAAGGAAGCTAATGGAGATAACGTATCAATGGTAAGTGCAGTGTATCTGCAAATTTGTTATACCTTCAAAACCGTTCAATTAGTTAAGCCCAGCTCTGCTAAAGTGAGCAATGCATAATAGTGCACACATTATGCAGTAGCTTTCTTTGTCGGACCATAACTACAATATTTCTCTGTCAGGGCTCCCAAGAAGCGAAAGTGGAACTCGGTGATGAGGAAGAAGCCGTGGAAGTAGCTGCTGGTGGTGAAACTGCAGAAGAGAAGGTTTAACAAGACACAACTAGAGTAGAGACTTAGTCAGCCTTCGAGGAGAGCGAACCTCTCATCGAAATAAGTTATCGATTGCCGTCAGACATCTGCACTGCGCTACAATCCTTGGTGATCTGATTTCACATGGGCGTCTATTGACAAACTGTCAACTAGACAGTATCTGCATAAAATACTGGATACAGTACATTCGTTGGTAAAACTCTGGATCTTTGTTATGTTCCCTAGGTGGAATCCGTAGATCTGATTGTCTTGATTTATTTGGACGATTTACTGTCGAGTGTTTTATCCGCTCAGACTGCATTTTCAGTGACAAAACTTGGTTTATTTTTAGAATTTTTAGATCCTTTATGGCCTTGAAGTTTGAATTGTGTGATGGGTTTTTTGACTACTGTGTATTAAATTATAAGATTTGTGAGATGTTATTGGAATCAGATATGTTTATATTAAAAGTTCAGTAAAGCAGTCTTTCCAAGTTATTTTTTAATGTATATAGTAGAGCTAATCGAGGGTCTGCTTACGGTTACAATTTTTGATTAAATTATAGGTGATATTAAGGTTCGAATTTTGGAAGAATTTTTCTCCTGTTCTACCTAAATTTTGCAGCAGTGTTGGTAAAATGACTACAGATATGATATATCGAGTTCAATCTTGCGGATAATTGGTTTACAGATTGCGTTTCTAATTAAAATTTTATTTTTATTTTTTTCTAACCGGCATGACGAATAACTCAACTAAAATATCTACCTCTGAAGTGTTGAATCTTGTTTTAATGCTGTACTTTCTCACAATGGTCAGAAATTCAGAGTTTTAATTTTACTTTCAGTCCAAATCTGATATGTAGTATTTTATGATTTTAGGAATAAGAAAAGTATACGAATTTATTATTATTTATGTTCTGCAGAGTTTTCTGTGGGCACGAATCTGATCTGTTTACTGAAAAATGTATCAATTAACGGAATTTATGTCCACTTGTTATTAAATTCTGGAAAAATTATGTAGTTTTACCTATATTATGAAATATATTATCAACGTTCAGGTTCTTGGGTTAATTATCCTTTATTTTGAACATATTCACTGCTAAAGAGCTTTGTAATGGAATAACTGTAAGTAGCATGATGGATATGCCGGTGGAAGATTTAATTGTTGTACGTTTTCAGATTGGTTAGACATTGTTGATATTCAGCAATATGTTTAAAGTTGGATATGTACTCTGCTTAATTGATTAAGAGCTTGATACATTATATGATAACCACATGGATCGCTTATATCCCCTTTCTCTTATTCTAAATACTTGTTTAGTACTTGTTAATGTTAAAGTGCGGTTTAACTTGTAGGTTTACAACCTACCAGGACGCGCGCCGAGTTTGACTCGTCGACAGTCCTAATAATTGGAAGAAATATTTTACGAGTATCACCCGTTAAGGTTTAACGTGAAGTTTGTCTTCGGGCCACGTTTTGGAAATCTGTCAGTCATTCCATCTTCATGCAGACACAGCCCAGCAGCAAACCTGCCACTGTATGATAATTCTTTTCTGCAATCAAAGGCCCAATTCCTAAAACTGTGGAATGCAATGCCTTACTAATACCATCTGATTTACATCGACGATCAGGAGTATCACAAATAGGTAGAGCGCCATCAACAGAGAGCCGACTTGCGACTGTAGGATGGTTTTTAGCGCTTATCTCGGCAGTCGGCCAGCACAATTTTTTGAAACAAATGCATATTCAATATTGGGTAACCTTCCCTCAACCCAATCAACCCAAATTACTTTACAGTCGATCTTCAAAAATTTTTCCAGATCCACGAATTACTTACTTCGTTGAGTTCATCCGTGGAGTCGGAAGGGTCATTAGGGGGGTACCAATGGCATAAATGGCATAATGGAGAATTTAATTTGCCAACAAAAATTTCCATTTATGCCATGAAATTCTATGCCATTTGATGAATTTTATGCCATTTTTCTCCATTCTATGCCATTGGTACCCCCCGTCATTAGATATCTGACCGCCTGGATGGCGAGTAGTCAACCAGTGAGTTTGACCAACTGCAGCTGTAGCCGGCGACCGGAGTGCGGAGGGTTGTCCGGTATCAAAGCAAGAAAGTTCGACAAACTACACTTAAACTTGTCTAAGGATGAATTAAAGTTAAAAGTGCCGAAGGCACAAAAGAGTCTAAAACAAATTAAGAGTTAGCGAATAGCGAACGAGTTTTTGGTATATGATAGCTTATAGTTATATTATATAATATGTCGCCCACGTTCCTGACTAGCCTGCGCAAAGTTATGCCCAAGTAAATTGTTTACTTCACCATCAACCATGCACGCGTGGTACGTATATAGCCCTAGTAGTAGTATAGGCACTAAATCTACGAGCGTGTTCTAAAACTAAAAGGGCCCCCGGCAGTTGAAACCAACTTCAATGTATTTTCGGACGCTGATCCCGAATCACACCCCCCCCCCCCCCCCAATGATTTAGGTTAAAATGCTCCCCTGACGAGATATTGGCGAAAAACTGTTTCGATCACATGATATGACCGTATAAGGAAGTAAGTCTAATTTCTCGTTAGGATTTCAGAATATGCTTTTGTTAAGGATTGGGTTAGCTTTAGGGTTAGGGTTGGTATCAGATTATCATTAATGGGTTAGTGGTTAGGGTTTCGAAATCGAATATTCGTTCAGGACCAGCTCTAGAGAACGGATTGAAAAAATCACGTGACAGTCGAGTGTAAAGTGATTAATCATCATTCGCACGAGTGCGCGGGCCCCCCCCCCTGTATCGCAGAAACGACAATCGGGGTCACGATGTGATACAACTTTAAACTTTTTTTGGCGTTTTAAAAATTTTCGCAGATTATTTGTAAATCAATTTTTCATACGCAATACGGTAAGCAGTAAAAATGTCAAAATATCTGTTGTATATCATATATCAGTGTCTATGATTATGAAAGTTGTGTATAAAACAACATATACGAAATATGATCAGATTCTTTGAGCACATCAAAGGTCATTTTCATCAAACGGGTTATCGTTGTCATACGTTGTATGACCCGCCGCGCACAAAGTGCGCGGCTCCCCCTGTATCGTCACCGACGACCGTGGGGGTCACAACGTGATACAAGGTTATCGTCGCGTGTAATAAAAATTTTATGCCTAGTAATACCCGCTTTTTTGTTAAATCACCTCGGTCTTACTGGGCCGCGCTCAGCCTGTCATTCCGCCTAATCTCTATTCGTTGTTTACCAACATTAAAGCCTGGGGTCCTCAGGTAACCTCGGTCCTGCATTTCAATTGTCAATGTAAACTTAGTAACTCCGAAGAAGTTCACCTAACCATGTGCTTTCGCGCCACTGCGGGCGCGCGCTACTGCTTGCTGGGCCGCGCTCTGCGCTCAGCCTGTCATTCCGCCGAATCTCTATTCGGCTCTATGTTTATGAACATAATAGCCTGAGGTCCCCAGGTAAGCTACTGCATGGGCCAGGGCTCTGGATAGAGCAACCGAAGAAGTGAACGAGGAAGCCGACGATCAAGAAAGTTATCATGCCATAATAATAATACAATGATTAATGCGTTATGCGATACTAAGAGTTACTGGGCCGCGCTCAGCCTGTCATTCCGCCTAATCTCTATGTTTATGAACATGATAGCCTGAGGTCCCCAGGTAATACTAAGAGTATCTAAATTTGATAATAACTTGTTTTTCATTGATCCAATGATATAGTTTATTTTTTAGGTTTAACCTACCTGCTACCAGGACCCGCGCCGAGTTGAACTCGTCCGAGTCGACGGTTTCAAACAAATATTTTCAAAGTTTATTTTAATGATGACAGAAATTTAAAAGTTATCATATACTAGATAAAACATTTAAAGTTCAAACTTCACATAGCCATGAGTCTACGCGTACAGTGTGACACGCTTGTTTCACAAATCACAAGTAAAATAATGCCGCCGTTTGGCGGTCTCGCGCTGCTGTAAGCGAAAGGGCTCCACAGGAGGCCAGGGCCAAAGTACAAAGAAACTGCTGCTGTCGCGCCGTTTGCAGCAGTTTCTTTACACTTTGGCCTATTTGCTATTACGGTTACTGTCACCAAAATGTAATTAGGTCGAACGGAAAAATTAGGTCTCAAGCAGGCGCGGCTTTTATTTTTAAGTGTATTTTTGTAGCGCGATGCACTACTGGGCAGCGCCGCGCATATTCTCGCAACCGTTGCAGATCGGCGAGATACGAAAGATTGGCATCGTGAATCAAGTGTATTTATAATCATGTATATTTATATCAGTATCACGCGCCTGCGTGAGACCCAATTTCTCCGTTTGCCTTCTACCTAGATATATCTTGGTGACAGTTAGGGTTTCGAATAATCATTCAGAGCCACCTAGAGAACGTGTTAAAAAAAACTAAAAGTCACGTAATAGTCGAATGTAGAGTGATCGATCATATATTAAGATGAACGCTAGGACCTCCAGTCTTCAAATTCAATTAATGTCCGTTCAAATAAGGTTCGATAAGGTATACACTATTTCAACTCCAATATCCACAAAGTTTTTTGGACAGTTTTGAAAGTCTGATTGGAAGGTCTTTACAAATTTTCAGAATGATCTCATTCCATGAACCGAATAGAAGATATGACAGAATAATACGAGTACGACGTAAACCAATGAATTTCGTCAAATTACGCGACTTTCACAGTTCACACTTATAGAGTTAGTCTTACTGAAGCTCCAAAAGCCGCGCATCATTAAACGGAAACCATCACTGTCATACTTTTTTGGAATGATTAATGAGTTCCGCCTTGGAGATGACTCCTGGGTACTTTATAGTTTATATTCAAAATAGAGCGAAGACGTCTGCTGTGAACATCATTTAGTTTTTCAAGGAATATTTTAGAATTAGGGACTGCCCAGCAGGATGAGTTGTACAAAATAACTGATACGACTAAAGCATTGTACAGTATTAGACGTCGTGTTTGTTTACAAAGTTTAAGTCGATGTTTTTGGAGTTTTAGTACTGTATTATTCTGTATGGCCAAAAAAAGTTCAAAGAAATGATAAGCTGTCGACGACCCAGCTAAAGGCTGGCAATCGGAAGTTGTTGGACAGCAGGTGTTCGAACTATTAAAAATAACAAACGGGAGTGGTCCAGATAGAGGTTACTCGATCTGTGCTCTCTACCTTATACCTTTCCTCGATTAATTGTTAGGCTAGGTTATCTTCATTTTACAGCAATATAAGTAAGACTAGCCTCCAGCTCGCCATTTTTGAGATTCAAGCGAATCGAGGATGTTCAAAGGGTGCAGGATGTTCAGCTCGACAAAATAACAGTAAAATTATCACACACTAATTGACCCCCCCCCCGTCAGCATTTCTATACCCCTAGCTGGCTGACAGGATCCTGTCAGTATGTATTAAGTAAGGGGGTTAAGAAGGCAAAGCAAAATTTGTTTCCGATCGGTTCTTTGAGGTATTCCAAGTCTCAAACCCCGGGGCGAAAGTGTTTTAGAGTTAGCCGGGAATGTTACCAGATCCATGAGTATATAATAATTTGATAGCTATAAGTCATCAGCAGAGCAAAAGTTCAGAAGATTGGCTGTTGAGTCTGAAAAATCTGTTGCTTTTTGTCTAATTCTTAATCTAGGCAGTAGGCAGACTACAGTTTCAACTAAAACATGGACTGAAACTGGTTTGTGTAAACACAAACTGTTGACAACAATGAATATTTTGGGGACTTTATTATTTCCAAAATCCATTCAGGCATTCCCCATAATACCCCTTGGCTTGCCCCTTTATAACCACCCAACCCTTTTTAACTAGATAATATAACACACACACTATTTGCTGTTGGTGGTGTACATTTAAACGTTGTGTAACTGAATGTCCAAAAATTCGGCGTGTTTCTAAGCTAACTACGGCGTGTACAAGATCTACCACCACATGAAACGTTGAGACCATACATTTAAGATAATAAGGGAGGAGAGTTAACCTCACTTTGTTAAATTACTCAACTGTAGAACGTTTACTAGTTAGTCATGGGAAGAGTTTACTTGTTAGTTTTAGTAATCACAACCTTTTTGCTGTTTACCACAAGCAGCACAGATACCAGATGCAAGCTTCGGGGTAAAAAGGAGAGGAAAACTATTTCGAAGCATCAACAATGCCTCAAAAAAGGTCTGTACAACAAATGTTTGTTTTTCATAAACAAGTCAAAATCTGTAACTGTCACCAAGATGTAACTAGTTCGAACGGAGAAATTAGCCAATTAGGTCTCACGCAGGAATTAGGTCTCACGCAGGCGCGTGATATATATAATTATATATATAAATACACTTAAAAGAGACCTAACTCCTGCGCGTGAGACCTAATTGGCTAATTTATCCGTTCGACCTAGTTACATCTTGGGGACAGTTCTGTTAATAAATGTTGAATCAACTAATTGTGTTTATTCTAGGTTTTAAGTCGACTTTAACCGGATGCACACCGCAAAACGGGAGCCTATCCAAAAGAATAGATCGGAAGTGCCGAAAAGTAGAGACCCAGTTGAAAAGTTGTGAATATACATGTCCCAGCTCAGGTTTGTCTGCCTTGCCAGTTTTTAAATTCGCTTTGTTGAACTGCCTAACTATAACTAAGTCAGTCACAACTTGGTGGACTGGCCAAATCTCGCAGGGAGAACTGAAAGATAGCCAGTGTATAAAATTTGTAGGGTACTCGAACCAGGGCTGCCAAGCCAAAGTGGATACCACATGTTATTATTATAAAGTTAATTCATAACCGATTGAATTTCAGCCATCACACTGACGATGGAACCTCTTAATATAAAGAAAGAAGAATCCGAGATAGCCACATTTACATGTATCACGACAGTGCCAAAACCTACGAAAATCTACTGGCAAAGATTTGTCCTAAACTCAGATGGTTACAAAGATATCACCGAGCTAGCCACTCAGGATATTAATCCTTCTGAGAAAGGATGGAAAGTTAAAAGTGAGCTGAAGGTTGGTCCCCTGGGTTTCTATGACGGGGGTAACTACAGATGCTCACTGCAAGAGTTTCCTGCTACTGCTGAGACTTTTCTTGCAGTTAAAAGCAATGCAGGTTAAGATTTGAGAAATAATACATTTTTTGGAGCCAATCTCGGCCCGAAGTATTCCATTTTCATGAATTTTGCAGAAACGATATCTCTCTAACTCGTGACAGTCACAAAATATTGGACGATTAATGATCGAAAATTTTCCGGGCTCTTGAGAAGATAAAACGGAATGAACTCTTCTTCTAATCAGATTTATTTGAGCTCTTTTACCAGTTTTCCAATTATAAAACTATTTCAGCTCTGACAATCAACCCGCTAGAGTTAAAGAAGGAAGAATCCGAGACAGCCACATTTACCTGTATCACGACAGTACCAAAACCTACCAATATCTACTGGCAAAGATTTGTCCTGAACTCAGATGGTTACAAAGATATCACCGAGCTAGCCACTCAGGATACGACTCCTTCTGATAAAGGATGGAAAGTTAAAAGTGAGCTTAAGGTTGGTCCCCTGGGTTTCTACGACGGGGGTAACTACAGATGCTCACTGCTAGAGTTTCCTGCTACTGCTGAGGCTTTTCTTGGAGTTCAGACAAAGCCCAAAGGAAATAATATCTCGTATATGTAGAGGAGTGGATTATCAAAGAGAGAGCTGGAATACGAATATTCTGAAGATGATAATAGCGTTAAGTAGCAAAATGTATTTTTGACATGCCGACAATTATACTAGTCTTATTTTCAGATCTCACGTTACAAGCCATGTAACATAACAATACTACTACTACTACTACTATTAAAGCATTATATAATATAATACTCGTTAACCATCCCTGTTATAAGAATGTTATAAGACCCTAGTGTTTCTACTACTACTATGTCGGAACTAAGTCCTATCTACGCCAGATAACCCCCTCCATATATCCCTGTTCCTCATCAGGGCTCGCAGTTCCTCTTTAGAGTTTGTCCCAACTTCCTTCAGTAACATAGACAAGTAACATAACAATACTAATAGTTCAATCGAATCATATCAGTGCAATGGCCAGCGTCATGCAATAGCATTGATACGAAGCCAGTGGAACAAATAAAACACACTTATCATAGATTAAGACGATAAAATAAAATTTGAATTGTTATGACATAATAATGTGTCTTCGTCATAAGAACCGTTCAAATTAAAGCAGTGACAATAACACCAGTTTTCACTAATGAAACAAAATAACTTTTAAAGTCTCCTTTTTTTAATTGGCAGATCACTTTAAATATTTAACCAACAATATTTTACAACACAGATCGAAATATACAGAATAATTATCAAGCATCAAACATTTGTAAAGTTAAACACTTTGTCATACCAAATTTATGATATGTATCATACAATCAAATTGAGGATACTATCATAAGACATTAAAATGGGTACCTAAAAATACAGGGATACACAAAATCGTCCACATAAAATCTAATTGCTATAAATTTAGTTTTATTTGTAGTTAGAGAGGGCTTGATCAAAGTATCTAATCTAATTGCTATACATTTAGTTTTATTTGTAGTTACATAGGGCTTGATCAAAGTATCTAACCTAATTGCTATACATTTAGTTTTATTTGTAGTTACATAGGGCTTGATGAAAGTTTCTAGTACGGGAATAAAGCATGTTCTCAGGTTTTAATTTTATGGTACATGGGTTTACAAGTTTTGTTTTAGATTTAAGCCTTGTTTCATAAATATAACCGCACAACGTTCCCATAAATTATTCATTCATAAAATATACTTTGAACGCTGAAAAGAGAATTATGTTAAATTTTATCGGACCAAAGATGCGGTGATACTGGCTCAACACATTAGCAGAGATAACGTTTGAGGAAAGTCTCGCTTATTCTTTAACAAGAGTAACAGGTTTTGGAAAGAATAGCTTCTGCATTTAACGCAAGAAATGAGACTGAAAAAGAAGAAAAAAACTGTAATCAGATTAGAAATGAAAGAAATTGTTATAATTGATAACAAATTCAAATGATAATAATTCTGATCGCGTCATGTCAAGTAATATAATGTGTAAACTCAAAAGATTGTTTTATTGAGACTCACGACAGCCTTCCTGTACGGCTCCAGGTTTCATTAAGTTCGGCTGAAACCGCTAGGCGCTAAGATGAGAAATACGTACGTACTTATAAAACCGCCTGTACGATACGTACTTTTCATTTTTTATGTTTTCTACAAGTACTCCATAATTTCCAACGTTTCTATCGTTTTCAATTTTCGAGGACAATCAGAAAATAGTAGAAATAATAGATGATTTCAAAACACTGGCAAAATTATTGAACAATCCTATCGCAGAGGTAGAGCTAGTGAGAGTTATAAGAGTACGTTTGATGTAGACGGTGTTAAACCATATGATGGACAAATAGTCAACATGAAACTAATTAACCCGATGATTTATTGGAGGTATTTTGGCTAACAAATGGATATTTGTTTATGCAAATAATAAGCTGAAGCGATCGAAGGTTGGGGTGGTAGGGAATCTACGTTAAACGTTTATTGTAGATATACTTTGTAATTCAAATTTGATGTAATTTATTACTTTTTAATAAAATTGTATTTTAATCGTGTTTTGAGCGTAAATAGTAAAGTATCTGAGCGTTAATTTAATCACTCATTTACGTTTACCGAAAAATAAATATATCGGGGGAGAATGACATCCTGAAAATTTGGTATTTTTTAAGGAATAAAGTACGGCTTGTATCGTACGTACTTATCCGACTGCTTGTATCGTACATATTTAACCCCCGGTGCGATACGTATTTCTCCACTTGGCTATGTAGTTATACTTGATGGGCAACAACTAGCATCAGAGCATCGGTATTATTCTTAATTTGTTTGGCTGCAAAATTTAATTAAGACTAAAATACTTAACATTTGCACTACAGCGAAGATTGCTATGACCAGGAATAAGACACAGCAGAATGAAATACCTGAGGAATGGAAATGAACTTACATCAAACGGTCATAAACAGAAGCATGAGTAAGTTTGATGTTGCGACTGGAATTATTACTAACTGGAGGAATCTCGATTGTAGAGAAAGAGGATGTAAACATTCTTTAAGGAATATCCTCGGAACTCGAAGATGCTTTAAGTATATCAGAATCCGACGCAAAGGGATATATTAAAGAATTTTGGTACCGTCTTGTTTATGGACAGCACACACAAGTCACCAGACGAACACTACAACATGCCACTATTCTTGCTGGCCTGTAGAACACCCCAGGGATACCAGGCCAGGTTATAATTGTAAATTGTAACTTTGTTTGTTGTTTTTTATAAGCAAGAGTCACCGATTCACAGTACATCATGTATTTTATGTTTCGGTTAGAATGATCAATGATACAAGTTAAATTATCAATTTAAACGTAATATTTGGAAAGTTTAATTAGTTTTGCCCAAAATAATTACTAGATAAAGCTGTGAACCTTCTATCTGACAAGCTCTTTCAGACAATTAATGTGAAGTGAAGCACTACAAAGGATCATCAATCACTGACAAAAACTGAAAAGCTGTAAAGAAAGGTACCGAAAGAGTGTATCAGTGACTGTATGACTGAGAAGGAAGGTACCGTTAACGACATTGACCAACATTTTACTACGTAACTATGCTAAACATTGATGACAGTTTGTATTGCATGACTACAATAACGTTATAGTTTGAAACCTGAAATACTATTGAACATAATCTAATATTATTGGGATTATTAATTACTAGGACAAGATTGTCCAACACCGGGAGTTATTTGATAGAGTTGGAGACCACTTACAATACAAAGGCTAATGAAGCAACCTTCAGGGAATAAAAAGGTGACCACATGTAGTGCGAGGTTCCATCACCTGTTGAGATAAAACATTTTACTTACACAGGAATATGGGAGCTCTTGAGCGTGGAAGCCGACTGCCGCCCAAGGTTAGGAAAGACTGGCTGAAAATAGCCTAAGAGTTGGAAACCACAGGCGGACGTCTTGGACACTTCTGAGGATAAATAACTTCTTCTCGGTACTTCAGGGTTAGTATTAAATTGGCACTTTTTGTTCTTTATTTTTTCTCATGGCAAGTACTTCATCGTATCTTACCTGATTACACAGCTTAACCCAGGAAAGCGCATAACGGCCAAAAGAAGACTTTCGTCTCCGTATGAGTGCGATTCCGGAGAGATGCAATCCGTTTGGTTCCCACCCCTTTCTGGTCTGCCTTAACAATCGGCAACAGATGCCGTCAAGCAAAATGGTCTCTCTTTTCATGAAGAACCTTGTTGGTGACGGTACGAAGAGGTACGAGGAGTTTGTTTGGGAAAGGGCTTGATAGCGATCCAATGTTAGAAACAATACGCATTACAGCAATGGCTTTCTGTTCATTTAGAGGATCTGAAAAATTGAAAAAAGCTCAAATTTCTCACCCTGACATCTACGTAGAATTTTCTGAGCACGGCAATTTTACTGTATCGAGGACTGGGCGGCCTTTTTCCGCTGTGGATTTTGACCAGGCTTATAAACAACTAAACAAGGACATAAAAATCCTGCATGGAGCTTTGGGTACAGATATCGGAGACCGGTGGAACATGGCTTGCCCTGAGGTACTCCGTCTTTTATCGGAGTATGAAAACTACTATCCGGAAATTTTTGGTGAAAAGATTGGTAGCGATCCTACGATGTTAAATCACCATAGTGATCACATAGGTCACCCAAAGGCTTTTTCTGAAGATTTCTAAGTCAGACTTGTGTTAGACAATGTTCAGATAATGTTTATACGTTCCTGAAAAGCACGTATGGTGCCCTGGAGTCTCATGTTGTAAATAGGTTTATCACAGGAGTGGGTAACAGGATGCTAATATCATAAGACATTACAGGAGCTCCTACCTCAGAATTAAACAGGATTTATCAGAAATCGAACTTTTCAGACAAGTCCTCCAGTCAGACGCAGTGCGCAACTTTTCTAGTTTATTATCATTAATTATTGTAATTTATTATAAAGATATATGTAAGCTCTTGAGCGTGGAAGCCGACTGCCGCCCAAGACTCGGGAAGACTGGCTCAAATAGCCGAAGAGTTTGATAGAGAGAAATATAACCATATTTAAAGCAAGTACGATAAATTCATTTAATCGCAACATAGATTCGTCTCATTATAATTATCGCATAGTAATATCACCAACGTCTAAAATATATTGGATACGTTGCGTTGCTTAATAATAATAACATGAAGTAAAAATTATGCCTGAGACAAGACCAGCGGTTGATGTACAGTATGTTCATCTTAATATTCCAGACAACGGGCGGTGATGCTTCTCACTCATCAAAGTCACCAGAAAGCTTTCAAGTCAGACTTTCGTCTCCTTAAAACTCTAGTTCTAGACCAGTTACATTCCAGTCAGCACGGAATTGTGCAGTACCGCGTTATCACGGTTTAATGTTGGGCCCACTATCTCGCACCAGCAAATGTATCATTCCAATAGCTGCTCCAGGAAAAGAAAATCAGGCTTCTTTGATTTTGAGCTATTGAGCCATTATTATATTATTTTTTCTCACATTACATTGGGACGTTTTGTAAATACTTCTTTATTTTTGTATTGTTGAATGTAATTTGTATATTGTGACCATTGAAGTTAGGAAAAGAAAATAAAAATAAAGACAACCATACAACTACCTGCTACCACTTATTTACCAAAAAACTTATTTAGCAAAATAACAACTGCGTTTCAGTGTGGCATGCTCTGAGCCATATGTGAGACCTACGGGTCAATGATGGAGGATTATCATACCGAAAGGTTTTTAAATCCTGGCCAAACCAATGATGATGTCCGGCTGCATTATTCATTATTTTTTCTCGCGTTGAGACGTTTTGTAATGGTTTATTATTGTATTGTTATTTGTATATTGTTATCACTGTTCATGTTTTGATTTAACATGAAGGAAGGTAAAGAAAATAAGAAAGAAAGACTCGCACACAACTACCACCTATCTATTCGCCTTAATGGTCGCCCATTAGGCAATTGCACGGAATTGTGCAGTACCTTAACTAAAGAACGTATTAAATGGAAATATTTGCCTTCCGATTCAATACGAAACGTTTTTATCATACTATAAAAACTATGCAGGATAGTTTTCAGTATGCACCAGAAAAAAGCTAAAATTAGACAATGAAAATG